ACACACACACACACACACACACACACACACACACACACACACACACACACACACACAGTATACCTGTAGTCTCAGCTACTCAAAAGCTGAGATAGAAAGAGCACATAAGCCCAGAAGTCCAAGACCACCCTGAGCAAGACATACATCTCAAAGCAAACAAATAATCAAAATTGAAAAGAAGAGAAGGAAGATGGGACAATACTTGTGTGTGTGTCCATATTCTGTATGATCTTGTGAGTCTCTCTGGCCCCCCAAATTCTAACAACTTCTAGTTAGTTTTAAATTATGCCATTTGAATTCATAGTCAAATATGTTACCCTTAAATTCCTGTTTAAATATTTAAAGAAGGAACTATCATTAACTTTTTAACTATCAATATTAACCTTTCACTTTTTAGTTTAGTGCATGAATGCTTTAATATATTAAGTTAGAGAAAATCAGACCTGATGTTATTTTTTCCTATTTGACTGCATTATATAACAATACTCGTTCTAGTGCTGAGATCTCACTGCTTTCAAATTGTTCTCATTCTTCTGTAACACTACTATGTTTTTTATTTGCAAAATTTAAGTTATCCTCAGTGTAATATCAGAAAGACTAAATAAAGCCAGCCTCAGTGGCTCATACCTGTAATCCTAGCTACTTAGGAGGCTGAGATATAGCAAATAAGAATTCAAAACCGTATCAAAATATAAATGCACATGACTCATCTCCAATTAATCAGCAAAATTTCAGGCTACACATTTAGCTCGTGATAGAGCACCAGCTTTGAATAAACAAGCTGAGCAAGATCCTGAGGCACCAAGTTATTTTACCAGACTGGTGAAATAAGCAACTAAATGAATAAATAAATAGCCCGAACAAAACTTTTACTCTCAGTTTTATGAAAACCCAAATATCAAAAAGAATTTTAGTTGGAATTGTCCTGAAGTTTTGTTTCAAGTAATGTACTACTCTTGGATATATTTAGGAAATTTAAATTTTTCATTTTAGCAATAACTAGTATACATTATAAATGGATGCTAAAAATGCCAGTTGAGGGGGAAAACACTCACCTTTTGCCATTTAAGTTCTTGTGTTTCCATAATAATTTTACCAATCTGTTTTTCATATTGGATTTCAGCCTCCTAAATCAAGAAAAGAAAAGTGCTATGAAAATTAGAATCTCAAGCTGGCATGGTGTCTCATGCCTGTAATCCTAGCTACTCAGGAGGCTGAGATCTGAGGATTGCAGTTCAAAGCCAGCCCAGGCAGGAAAGTTCATGAGACTCCTATCTCCAATTAACCACCAGAAAACCAGAAGTGGTGCTGTAGCTCAAGTGACAGAGTGCTCGCCTTGAGCTGAAGAGCTAAGGGACAGTGCCCAGGCCCAGAGTTCAAGCCCCATGACTAACCAACAAAAGAAAATTAGAATCTCAAGACATTCATTTCCAGCTCTTTCTAGAGAAAAAGAAACTACCTTCTCACAACCACTTTTTTTAAAGCTGGAAAATTGCAAATTAAATGAAAGTTCTTACAGTGAGCTACTTTAAGACCATGGATCAGGGGCTTGGAAGGTGGCTCAGTGGTAGAGCACTTGCCTTGCATGCTCTGGGTTTGATTCCTCAGCACCACATAAGAAAAAAGCCGTAAGTGGCACTGTGGCTCAAGTGGTAGAGTGCTAGCCTTGAGCTGAAGAGCTGAAGGACAGCGCCCAGGCCCCACGACTGGACCCCCACACACACACACAAAAAAAAAAGACCATGGATCAGCAGTAGGCTTTTCTTGTAGGAAAACCTACCAAGGCTTATGGAAAACATAGGGAAAGATAAAGAAAGTTTTCATCTTTTCTATTAGCAGGGAAAGTAGTCACAATCTATTTCCATTACAGGATCCAAAATATTGATAAGTGGGGGAAGGATGACCAAAAGGATAGCCAAGTGAGGCAAGTAAACAAAGCAGGATCCATAGTTGCCAGGGTGGTTCACTAGACTGGTCCACAGATCCACCTCGGCCTAAGGAACAGTCCAGAGGCAGATAAAACAGGATCCATGGGCTGGGAAGGTGGCTCAGTGGTAGAGTGCTTTCCTTGCATGCATGAGGCCCTGGGTTCAATTTTTCAGCACCACATAAGCAGAAAAACCATGAAGTAGCGCTGAGGCTCAATGGTAGAGCACTAGCCTTGAGCTGAAGAGCTGAGGGACAGTGCCCAGGCCCAGAATTCAGGCCCCACAACTGACCAAAAAAAAATAGGATCCATGGTTGCCAGGACCACTTCTAAGACAAGCCACAGATATACCTACAGATCTGCACCTGCCTAAGGAATGCTGAAGAACCCTTCCAAAAGATAACCCTAGACTGCAAAGGCATTGACAAGGTGCTGATAAAGTTCCTGTGACCAGCTTCACTGGGGCCACATGATAACAGGCTATTTGTCCAGCAAAGCAGAGTTCTCACCAACTGTGCATGAACTGGGAACAAGGATAATGACCCTATAATGACTTTTGACCATACAATTCCCAGATTCTTACTTTAAGATTTCCCAATCTCTATGAGGAACATGTACAAGTTCATCCCAGAAAGTCTCAACAAATCTAGGCATGCACAATGTATTTGTGCATGAAAGCACTGACTAAAAATCACTAGACTAGTTTAGTAAACACAAGTAGAGGAAAAAAGCAAGCTACAGGAAAGCAACAAAATGACAAGAAACACGACATATTTCTCTATAGTAGCTAAACATCATGGACTCAACTTCCAAACTAAAAAAAGCAAGCCCCACTTGTCAATCAACCTGTTCATTCAAATAAAGGACTACCATAGCTCTACCAAACAAACCACACACTTTTCCTGAGCTGCCTACAAAAAGCACTTTCCCACAGCCCATTCTTGTAGTCTCACAGGGCATACATTCCCTTTCAATATATCTATATATTCCTTTATCCTGCTCAATTCCTTATTTGGAACACAAAAGACTTGGAACCAAGATCCAGATAGGGGACTCCCTTTCTTCAAACATTCACCTGGTAACACAGACATAGTTGAAAAGCTGGGTAGTTGGTGACAACTACCCAGGGGTCCAATCAACAGGCATCACTGAACACTCTTAATGCAACAGATCTGTCTTCCTTGTCTCCTCTAAGAAACAAAAGCTTTAATGTTCAGGGGGAAGTCCAATACAAATCATAACCTCACTATACTTCTGGAAACCTACTGCAACTGAGAGGAGAAAACCAAGAAAACAAAATTACAGCTGGCAGAAATGCATGCTATGCCCAGCACTGTATCTCAAAGAGGGATCAGAACAGTTGGGAAGATCTCATCCTAAGACTCAGGTTCAGCTAAGACTAAGGACTAATAGCAGTATCACAGAATGTCCTCCTCCCACCTGTTACTACCACCTCACTAACAACTAAAAAGAGGGGGCTAGGAAGTTGGTTCAGTGGTAGAGTTGCCTCTCATGCATGAGGCCCTGGGTTCGATTCCTCAGCACCACATAAGCAGAAAAAGCCAGAAGTGGTGCAATGGCTCAAGTGGTAGGGTGCTAGCCTTGAGCTGAAAAGCTAGGGACAGCGCCCAGACACAGTTCAGGCCCCACCGCCTATTAAAAAATACATAAATAAAAAGAACGTGGAGCCCGGCGCTGGTGGCTCATGCCTTAATCCTAGCTACCAGGAGTCTGAGATCTGAGGATCATGGTTCAAAGCCAGCCCGGGCAGGAAAGTCCTTGAAACTCTTATCTCCAATAAACCACCAGAAAACTGAAAGTGGCGCTGTGGCTCAAGTGGTAGAGCACTAGGCTTGAGCTGAAGAGGGATAGCGCCCAGGCCCAGAGTTCAAGCCCCAAGACTGACAAAAAAAAAAAAAAAGGACATTATATTGAGAGACCTGCAAGGACAGTCTCTGTAGGAAGTAGAATGAAAGGAAGACACAAAGATATGTGGGGAGGCAGAAAGCCAGCAAGAAGCAGCCATTTGGAAACATCCTCTGGTTTTGTTGGAACCAGTTGCCTATAATACTAGCTACTGAGGAAGCTGAGATCTAATGATAGTGGTTCTAAGCCAGCCCAGGCAGGAAAGTCCATGAGACTTTTATTTCCAATTAACCACAGAAAACTGGAAGTGGTATTGTGGCTCCAAGTGGTAGAGTGAAAAAGCTCAAGAACAGAACCTAGGTCCTGAGTTCAAGCCCCATGATCCACAATAATCATCATCAACTTTTTTTGGGGGGGTCAGTTGTGGGGCTTGAACTCTGGGCCTGGACGCTGTCCCTGAGCTCTTCAGCTCAAGGCTACTTCTCTTCCACATCATCATCCCTTGAATTGGCTGATACTATACACATAAGATAGCATTAGAAAAATCGGAAGCTTCTGATGAAAATCTCAATAGGTAGAGTTGAAAACTGCCTGTCTGAGTGTTAAAAAATGTGCCTCAAAATACCTAGAGCCTTTATGTGAAGACCAGAAGGTCTCCTGTAGATATTTAAGGATATCTTGATCAAATCTCAACCTGACCATTCAACTAGTAAATGGCAACTTTAGTCACATATGACAAAGACTATAGACTTAACAAATAGTTCAGAGAAGTTTTTAAACAAATGACAGTAAGGAACAACGCTAGAGTGGAGCAAAATTTGGTTTTCAGTGTTTCTGAATGTGCAAGAATTTCATTTTCAACAAAAGAAAAATCATATGGCATGCAAAGGCGTAAATCCATCTACTAGGAAAAAAAATTAGGCCAGCCCAGGCTAGAAAATCCATGAGAGTCTTATCTTCAATTAAGCACCAGAAAACTGGAGGTGGCACTGTGGCTCAAAGTGGTAGAGTGCTAGCCTTGACCAAAAAAGTTCAGCTACAGTGCCCAGGCCCTGAGTTCAAGCCCTGACTGGCCCAAAAAAAAACTGTATATGTATATGTGTGTATTCATATACACACACACACACACACACACACACATATATATATATATATATATATATATATATATATAAAGGAAGCTGATCTCAAGTATACCCACATACTAAGTTCATTACACAAAGACTTTTTAAATCAATTACTTTAAATATACTCCAAGAAAAAGGATATACAAAAAATACCCCAGTCATTAAAAAGGCAATAAGAGAATGTCTTTTAAAAAAACTTTTTACTTGGGCTGGGAAGGTGGCTCAGTGGTAGAGCGCTTGCCTTGCATGCCTGAGGCCCTGGGTTCGATTCCCCAGCACCACATAAGTAAAAAGACAAAAGGCGGAAGTGGCGCTGGGGCTCAAGTGGTAGAGTGCTAGTCTTGAGCTGAAGAGCTGAGGAACAGCGCCCAGGCCCAGAGTTCAGGCCCCACGACCGGACCCCAAAAAAAAAAAAAAACTTTTTACTTATTTGTCAATTATAAACAACTTGAACAATTTAAATAGACAAAACCCACAAACTTCCTAAATTTCACTAAAATAATATAAACAATCCAAATACCTTTACGACCACTAAAGAAGTTGATTTTGTAACTAAAAACTCCCTCATATAATATTTCACTGAAAAATTCTACCAAATATCTAAAGAATGAATGTTACTTTACCAAGTCTCTTCTAGAAAAAGAGAGAAAGAAACACACTATCTTCCTTTAAAGGGTTCACATTATGCCAAACCAAAGATACAAGAAAAAGAGAAGTATCATACAAATTTTAATGTAAGTCTTTTTTTCTTCAACAGGTGAGATTGTATAATCTGGACTTGCAACACAGGGTTGGGGAAGAAGAAGATGAGGACACAGGTACACTGAATTAGTCCTGAAAAACCTAAGTGGTCCCATTTGGAGTTTCTAAATAAAGTCTCACAAAGCCAAATATATTGGCTAAGACAAGGTTTTATCCATAATCTCTGAGAAAGAATTCATTCCAAACTCATATAGGTCAATGACTGAATTTACTTTTTTATAAAGCTAAAGTCCCTGTTTCCCTTAGAGCCTTCCCCAGGGGCTTGTCTTTGCTGCTCCATGAAGCCCACAGGAAGAGGTGATCAAGCCCCACTCTATCTTTCAGACTCTTTGACTTTAATATAAGTCTTTAAGGACACTGTAACAAACATAATCCACCAGTGATTCAACAATGTAACTGTTTAAATCAGTCAGTGAAGTTTATTCATATCAATAAGCTAAAGAAT